ATAAATAAAAGGAGTAAGAACTTTAATTTTATTTAATTGATTATCTTCGATATGCGTAACTTTTAAGAACTTTTAGCTTGTTATTCTTTTATTTAAAAGAAGATTACTGAATATAGCACTAAGATTTTTAATGTCTTCTCTTTTGTTTAAGGTGTTTTGTGTAGTTTTAATTAAACACACTTCTAGAAACAGTCTTTTGTTGTAATTTCTTTCCCTTCTCAATATTTCTGTTTGATCATAGTTAGGCGTATGGCCCATTGTAATAGCATATTAAAGGGATTATTCCAAGTTCAAATGAGATAAAATTTATTTTTATTTGTGTTTTTTTTCTTAATTACTTAGTAACATAAACTCTGTTGCTTGTTTAATAACTGCAAACGAAACATTTCTACATATTATATTAAAATTTGCAATGAAGGTTTGCATAAACATACATAAACTAACCTAAAATAATTTTAAAATTATTTTAGGTTAGTTTTAAACAAGTAAATTTTAAACCTAAAATTTACTGTTTGTATTTAGAGAACGATTTCCGAAGTGGAAATTGAAACGTCAATAAACGTATTTTTATCTTTAATTGTGGCTTATTCCCAGTTTAATAGTAATTAACCTAAAATAAATATAAAAAATAGAAGAGACATGTAAACGTTAGTAATAAGGTTTGACAGAACGAAAAAGAAAATCAAATTTAATAATGTCATTATGTTAATTAATGACATTATTATGCTAAATTTAAAACACAATCCTCACAAGGGTAAGCCTATTGAAGATATAACAACTTCATTTTTCTAATGTAAATTTTTTATGTTAATTTTTAGTACGTTTTGAAAAAGAGTACAATAAACTCGAAAGCTTAACAAACCTAAAAGAGTTTCACCTAAAAGCCAATATTGACTACTAAACCCAAGATATCCGTATATATTACTCACATAGTCACTAAAGCCCTTTCTAAGAGTATATATATATATATATATATATATATATATATATATATATATACATTGTATAAAAAAATACCAATGTTTTTGTATGTGACTGTACAGTAATTTTGTTCTATATTAATCTTAAACTATATTTTAATATACTAACCATTATTGGTGCGTAAACTAGGAAACAAATCCGGAAACATTTTGAATGTATAATGACAATTTTAGATATACAACCAGTGAAATATATCAGTAGCAAGGCCTTGTATAAATAGGGTTTAATGTTATAAGTAATATAAATTTGTGTAATAAAAGAGTATTTGAGCTTGGTGATAATATTTTGGATTTAATATATGGCCTTCTGTCCAATGCCATTTATTTAAAACATGGAACCTCTTATAAAATTTTACCAACGCGTCACTTTTGACGATAAATTTTTGTTTTCTATAAATATTGTATCGTACAATGGCCTGGTATGGAGGACAGCATGTTCAGAAGTTAGTTATTATTGTGTGTAATATAAAAATGAACCCAAGATAAAGTTTAGGATTGGAGTATGAGTTGGACGAAGAATTCCAGGTCCAAGTACGTTCACTTTGCAAACTGGCACTGAGGTGTTTTGAACGGCGAGCTTTGGGACGTAGATCTACAGATCGCTAGGAACGAGGATACTGTACTAAATGAAAGAAAATGGACAAAGTAGGAACAAATAAGAAGAAAAAAGGGTGCCACCTTGTCATTTTTGTAAGCGGTAAGGAGAACTCTTAAAACCAAAATACGTATATAGACAAATAACAACAAACAATTACACTTACCTTATATGTTTATTTAGCAAACTTGTTAGAAAGTCGGACTTGTTACGGATTTTATTATTAGATGTCGCTATTGCGTCCGTATTGAAGCCATTTTAGTGTTGCTTCTTAAAAGACAGAAAATATTGATTTTTCACGTTGAGAACACCTATGAATAACTTCTGATGAGACCTATTAGGTCGAAATACGTATCAACAGATACATAGGCGCTTTTTGCGTGAAATCAAATATTTGCTGTCTTTTTCATTGTTAGGAAGTATTTATATGTGGTCCAAGAGAAAAGAAGATTGTTGGAGAAATCAAAAATACTATGTTATTACATTCAAGCTATATTTATTATTAGCCGAAACATAGGTTTAATGGGGCATACTAATTTACATCAAACAAACAGAAATGTCCATTACTAATGTATAGCTTCTTATATCTTCATAACTTTGTATTAAAGATGATCTCAAAAAGAAGGGCTATTTAAAAAAATTAAAATTTAAAATTTACCTCGGTCATATTTACATCATGATTTGTAGTTGTTTCGCTTCTTAAAATCCATATACAAATTTAGTGTTGTATACAAAAAACAATGGTTATTCAATATGCAAAAAATTAAAGGATATGCCCTATTCAAAAACACTCCTACACTGCACTGCATAATATTCAAAGCTATAGTAGGTCTTCTAACAGGGCACTGTAAGCCGAATAGGCACTTGAAGCTGGTGGGATTATCAGGTGATGACCTATGCAGATTCTATCACCTCGAAGAAGAAACAGCAGAGCACATTTTATGTTAGCGTGACAGTCTGGCAAATGTGCGGTTCCTTGCATTAGGAGAAGAAAATCCACCGGCAAATAGCTACATGGAAGGTACAGTCTCGAAGCTATTAGACTATAAAAAGGGCCTTCCTTGGATGTGGTAGCCGTTTCTCAGGCTCCCTCTCCGGAATCGAACCCTGATTCCCCGTTACCCGTTACAACTATGGTAGGCGCAGAACCTACCATCGACAGTTGATAAGGCAGACATTTGAAAGATGCGTCGCCGGTGCGAGACCGTGCGATCAGCGTAAAGTTATTCAGAGTCACCAAGTTATACGATGACGAGCGAACCCGCCACCGATTGGTTTTGATCTAATAAAAGCGCTCCTTCCGTCTCCGGTTGGAGCTCTGTTTGCATGTATTAGCTCTAAAATTACCACAGTTATCCAAGTAAATGTGGGTATGATCCAAGGAACCATAACTGAATTAATGAGCCTTTCGCGGTTTCACCTTCATTTGGCTTGTACTGAGACATGCATGGCTTAATCTTTGAGACAAGCATATGACTACTGGCAGGATCAACAAGGGAGCTGTTGTATTACCTATTCGAAAAAGAACGAAATAGATAACAGATAATCAGTCTACTCTAGTTTTTAATACAAGATAGACAAACGTATCCTAATCTATCATAATTCTTTTTCGTTTGCGTGTTTAGTTGCGTCTGAAAGATATACTTTCTAACGCCACGCTTACAAAAAAAAATTATATGACAAAACAGTAATATACATTTTAGTCTAAATATGTCCGGATGACTTTATAACTATAAGGTCCATTCAGATCATTCCGTAATTTACAGAATGATTCAAGCGGATCAAAGTTATAATTTACGCCTTCCGGTGAAAAAATTCGACATCCTCTCAACACTTCGCTAGATTGAAAGCGACACGGTGTTCTCGAAAGAAGCAGTCGGTACGTATTTTACAATATACTCGCTCGGAAAGAGGAGAGTTATCGCACGTTTATATGTTTTGATTGATAATAAAATCAATCAAAACTCTGTTATTTAGATCGTTTTTGAATCACTCACTAAAAAAGCTTGTAAAATTCACGATCTCTGTCTACACCTATACTGTCTCACTTAATCTAAATATTCAATTAATCTTTACTTGCTGGATCACTACATATTTTCATCACTACATATCATCATCATCAGCCTGTACATCTGCTCCCTCAGCTCTTTACATCTGTCTGTCTTGTGCGGCTTACAAGTTACTTCTAATACACTTCAAGTCGTCATTTCATCTGGTTGGTGGTCGTCCTCTGTTAAGTAGTGATGTTGTCTTGGTCTCCACTCGACAATACGTTTTGTCCATCGATTGTCTGATAATCTGGCGACGAGTCCTGTCCAAATTCCATTTTAGCGACTTGATTTTTCGATGGCGTCTATTGTTTTTGTTCTACGACATATTTCTTCATTTGGAATCTGGTATCTCAGAGAGACACTCAACTCCTCAACTCATCTGGTGCTCCATAGGCCTCTGAATCACGCGAACGTGACAATCGGATAGCTGTACTCTGTTACATGACACTGCCCATACTTGAGAACGCGACACGGAGCATGTCGACGTGGTTCGACACGTCATTCGGAGCATGTCAACACTAAGCCACAGAATAATAAACAATCAGAAGGGCCACTCTCAGATGCCGCCTTTGAAGTTTTTCAGCACGCGCGCCATGTTTTAGGAGGACACAAACATATGATTTATGAGGTTATGCAATTGTTTACATTTATGTTTAATTATATTATATTTATGTTATTATATTTAAAACTGTTAATATAATTGTATAGTATGTCTATGATTGCCGTAAGTCAAATAAACCTGGTTTTTTTTCTATGCACACCACATAAACAACACTGGTTCCCTTTAAAATCCTCGTAAAACATGGCGGAACGTCTGCGCGAAGGAGATGCGCGTACTTAATTTTCCGTGGAGAGTGGGCATTCTGTTTGTTTATTATTCTGTGACTAAGCTTTAGTCTATTTTCTTTAGGATTATATTATTTTTTTTTATTATTTTGTTAACTTCTGAACATATTGTTGGCTTAACCAGTTTGTTTGATTAACTTGTTGACAGCTTTATATTTTGTATAAGACATCTTTAAATAAAAATAAACCGTTTTAAATGTGCCAAAATGACATATCTGTCACGGTACGGCTAAATTTGATATATCAATTAGATGTAATTTTTTAGGTAAAACAATTTTAAGCTTAAGAAGTCCTATAGAATGTTGTACATATACACAGTGAAAAATATTATAAAGGTACCTTACCACTTTTTTTTTCAAATTTCAAATAATTTTACTAAACAAGTTAAGCAAAATAGACATGTCGTCAAAAACTTAGATCAACTATTGTCTTCAATTTCAAATTAGTCAATGCCAAAATAATACTTCATAAACATCGTTAAAAATTAGATGACGGGTATTAATTTTTAATCAAACTTTATTGTTTCAGATCGGCATCATCTTCCAGCAGCATAGAGCCTCTTCAACCCGTCAATAGACTGAGAGTTTCTCCGCATGAGTCGCATCTTCGTATGTGTTCTCGTTGTTCCAGTTTATTAACGCTAGCATCGAGTTCTCGTTACTCATTGAATTCTTCGACGGGTGGTTTCGTACCTGTGCCTGCTGGTGAACCTCCGACGCTGTGCAAACTCTGTCTGACGGAGGTGCCTTCGCAGAACGTTATGCGCATAGAGCAGTGTGAGTGTGCCTTTTGCTTAGAGGTAAGAACGTCTTAAGTACATTTTTATATTAAAAAATGATTAGCAGGAGTGATGACGTAGATTTTATTGACATCTGTCAGTTTCACTTTCCAAACAAACGTTGTGTAGTGTGGATAATTTGTATTTTTCTTTATTTTTAAATTTTTTTTTACAGAATCTTTCCGCTTTTTGCAATATTTAAGTATTTTAATAGTTACTACAACAAGTTTACAAGGTTGTGTAAATAATAAAGCATGTTGTTTTATAAAAATAGCAATAAAATGCATGCATCAATAAAGTAAGGTTAGAATGTCCGTAAGGTATACTTTTAAACTATATTTCATAGAAATAGAACACTGAATTGTGATGGTATTATCGTGAAAAACACTATACTTAAAAGAAAAAGTAGCAAAGGAAGCAAAATGTTAACTTTATAGAAATTAAAAAGTCGTGAGATTTGACATTTCAACTATTGTTTGGAAAGTAATGACAACAATATGACAGATGTGACGTCACACTCCTGCTGTCCATTGACCGTGTAGATATACTTTGTAAATAGATCACATGCATGTAGGTGGCGCTGGCATCAGGGTTTGGTATTAAAACATAACCTTATTTTATTCTGCCATTTATTTACATTGTTTGTTAGTACTCGTTTCCTAGTTGGTATGCAATTTTGTGAATGATTTAAGTTTTAATAAGTTATTTAGGACATTTTAATTATTTGGATACTTCTACTAAAACTTTACGGTATGCCTTACAATTGTTGTGTGCCACAATGCAATTCAGTTTCCAATAAAACATACGTTTTATAAAACGTTTCATAAATTTCCCTTGAATAAAGCTTTACAAAAACAATGGTTGATCGCTATCAGGTCTGAAAAAAGTATCAGCAAGCACACAAAATCTATTCCAGACACTTTTCAAATGTAAGTTATACAGTTGCAAGTTTGGGTACGTTAAAAAATAATTATCCTAATTTCTTGCATTGTCATTGTCTTGTTTTTCTGGGACAATATAAGATCCTTAAAAAAGATGCAGCATCTTTAGTAAATTTACCAAAAAGAGAGTTGAAGACTCCAGTGAAGGACTCTAGGAGAAGTGGTAGATATAGAAAAATACTTTGTGTAGCAGTATTGCCGCCAAACAAACAAAAAGAACAAACATTAACAGAATTATTACAAACAGTTAAAAATAATACACAAAAGTGTGGTTCAATAGCGACACCTGCTAATGAACATAAAGCAGAGAGTTCAAAAACATGTATTACAACTCAAACCGTGATAATATGGAATAGAAGTCAATTCATTTCTTATGACTTTTTGTCAGAAGAAATATTTTACTGGTTTTTCAAAAAAAATATTTACATGTTTAATTGAAGAGTTTGGGAAATCATACTTAAAATTTTACTTAATATGGAAATATATACTTAATTTGTTTTATTCTACATTAAAGCATTTTTTTGGCAATAGAGATTCGAACTGTCCGAAAAATATTTAAGTGGGCCAAGCATCTTTGCGCTTGCTTAAAAAAATTAACTTTTGGAACATTGCAACAACTTCAGAAGACCAGTACAAAATTATTCTGGACTGTACCGAAATTCCAAATGATCGAAGCAATGACCCTATTATACAACAGGCAACATTTGTTCTACATATTATGGAACCAATACGTTTAAAATATTAATAACATGATCTGAAAAACGTGAAATTATATATGTATCTGATGTTTATGGAGGCAGTATTTCAGATTGCAGAAAAATTAACAGTAGAATTCGGAATTTTAAGGGACGATGTATTGAAGAAGGAGAATTGATTCTATCGGACAGGCATTTTGATGTATCCGATTTTTAGAGGAAAAAGGAATATTATTTAAATATATATATATATATATATATATATATATATATATATATATATATATATATATATATATATATATATATCCGGTTTTTTAGGCGTTACGCCTGTCCGGTAAGGATCTATGGAGGAGTATCACCGAGCCGCAAGCCCTTTTCTCTTGCCGTACTGCTCCACCATAGGCCGATCAGATCCCAGCATATCCTAGTCTAAGCCGCAGTATTATTTAAATATACCTGTATTTAAAAAAGAGGCTCAGCTAACAGAAGAAGAAAAAATAGAAAAAATTAAAACAAGGGCCATTGTCAATCATAGAATTATTGTTGAAAATATTATAGGATTGGCAAAAAATACATAAAATACTGAAAGATAGAATTTTTTCCAAATTATTCCCATATATGAATGAAATAATTTATAACTGTTTTATGATTTGAAATTTTAAAAATAGAGCACTTAATAGAATAAAAATAGAAGTAACACTTTGCGAAAATTATTTTGTGCCTATATTGATCAATTAAATTCCTGGTGTGACAGCTTAATTTGTTTAAAAACTGAAAAAATATGACTTTAAAAAAAAGATTTAATTTGCGTTATTTCATTGGTTAAATATGAGACAGAAAATAAAAAAAAAAACAGTTTTTTACAATTTTGAAATATCCATTATTAAAAATGTTGAAACTAGATTAAATAACTCACTAATTTCACAAATTTTAAACACTGTGAAACTATGGCTGAAAATCTACAAAAATGTATTGAAATGTATATCTGAATGTGAGGAATAATATGAAGTTTTTTTTTGTGTTTTGGCTTGGACAATTGTCATTCAGCCAGTCTCAATCAAGATAAGTTTATTAATGTAGTGTGTGTGTGTGTGTGTGTGTGTGTGTGTGTGTGTGTGTGTGTGTGTGTGTGTGTGTTTGTGTGTGTGTGTAGAGTAATTGTCTTGATACTTAGCAAAGTCGACGTCATTGTCTTAGAGACGATAATTGTATCCGAACGTCTGCGGTCCCTCCGGTGAGTACCGATCACACAAGGATAGAAATTATTTTCATTTATTAATTTTTTTAATAAACGAAAATTTCCACCCAGGTGAGATTCGAACTCACGACCTTTAGGTTTAAAGGTAGGCGCTCTTACCACTCAGCCACAGAGGGGGTTTAATATGAAGTTATGATTTAATACCAAACCTCGACGTAAGCGCTCCCTACGGATATTTTTTTAACTGACTTATGTCATCTCTATTGCTCTCCTTTTAACTAAGTTTGAAGATGATTTCTAAATTCGGTACTAATTTCGTATGAGGGTTTGAGGGAATTTAGAATGATTATTGGTTAGTGTTAATTTTTATGTATTTTCCATTTAAGAAAAGAAGTATATTAGTAAGTAAGTAAATAAAATGAATTAATTTTCTGAACATATACACTTTATATTGACAGATTGTCTTAAAACTTTTCGTACAATATACGTCTAGCATGCCGAATCCGAATATTTTATTCTTGTTCGCCACAATTGTTTAGTTCCTGAGATATAATTAACCTAATCAAACCACACCAAGTATCAATCTCTCTAGCTGAGTAATTGAATTAACTTTGCTACACGAAACTGATATACAGAACGGAATTGACTGCATTGTTGTTTTGTTTCCTTTCCCACTCTCTTCCTCTTCTATACTCCGGCAAAGAAATAATAAAATGAGTCATGTTGTCAGGACGTTGATTAATTCCGTTATTAAATAGATTTCTCGGTTATTTGACACTCAAAAGAATTAAATTTTTCTCAGAAGTAAACTTTGAATCTTGATAATTGCATTTCGTTCTCTTTAATGACGTAAATGAGTAAAGTCAATTGAGGGGAGTAACAATATGATTCATGTACTGCATGACTCGATGTATAACTTCTTCCAAATAAACACGTTTAGGCATGTTTTTAGAAGACATTATATACATGCAGACCAAACAAGCATCTGCAGTTGCTAGTACTTTTTCTATTGACAGTCTAAATAATTCAATACCTATCCTGAAATAAAAAAATATATTAATTTGAGTATATTACATATTTAGGTATATAGTTGACTTCCGCTCACTCGACACATTAATAACGTGAATGAAAACTTATTTTATAAACTAGATCTTATATATTATTTTTATTATAAGCAGATATACATATAATATTCTATTGTTCCAATGTAAAGTTACCAGCAAGAAAACATATTTTATTACTCGCTGCCAATGATCGAATTTAAAATTTCCTGCAGTTAATGATGGGCACGTGATTTTGGCTACATTTCACCACTTACGGCGCATGATTTCGGATGAGTCATTTCAATTAATATTTGTCAGACTATAACTAACCTTAAAATCGTTTGAGTCAACGTAAGATGTGCTGTATATCTATGGATGTACTATATTATATACATTAAAAATGTAATTTTAGGTTGAAATGCATTATTGTCGTAAAAATAAATTTGAACGATACATATCTACCTACTACATACCTACGCAATGGTTTTTAAATGGAAAAAAGAGCACAGGCCTCTCTTCTTGGAACATTTTAAATAGTATTCATGTCTATTAAATTATAAAAGGGAGGGTTATAAAAACTGAGTTTTTCGTGTAAATGCTATTAAATCGCTAATTGAAGATTTGAACATTAGCGGTATAATCGAAGACATAAAACGTTTTGCAATTTCACTCTTGCGGGCAAAGCATCCCTCATCATAGTCTTTCTGAAATAACGGTGTAACCATTTTAAGAAGTTCATCAAATTTTCCTTCATTCATGCGAAGATGATTAAGTATGCATCTGGATCCTCTCCTTCGAATTCTTGTAATAGACAGTTTGAAGTTCCTAAGACTTGCCTTCTTAATACCCATGATCGTACTCACTAACGACGGCGTTTTTTGAAAGTTCGTTTATTAAATGGTCGCATATTTTCCTAAACTCATGAACTCCTAAAGGCACGACTTTTTTCGACGTCTTTCGAAGAATATGTGTTTCCAGATACCGTGTAAATAGCATTCCTTTCATTTCTGTTCCATTTAACCAAAGTAATTCAATTCGGTTAAACTGTGAAATTTCGTCTTAAGGTTTGCACAAGTAATGTTAGGTTAATCTCCCTTTTATGGAATATACATGGAGGGTTTCGGGCTCGGGGGTATTCTCG